TCTTTGGCCAGCTTTCTTGCCCTTGCATATGTCCTTTTGTCAAGGAACATGCCAGCTTCATCAAAAAGTTCGACCAAAGACACCATGCTCTGCAAGGCATGCACCATCTTGGCATGCATTTCATTCGATGTATCAAGCATTGCTTTGAGGACTGGCAAGAATGCAGGCATGAAATGTTTGCACTCTGCTGCCTTGCAGTCAAGCTTTGGCCAGGATTGGTGTGGCTTCTGTGGGTCTGTCACCATTGAGAGCCTGAGGTTGGTGAGCCTTGTGGGTGCCTTCTGCTTTTTGTACTCTTGCTGGATTTGAGAGAAGATCAAGGCAAGCCTGTCACTTGGCTTCACAGCTTGCCTCCCCTTCCCATCATTGTAACACAGGAAGTGCAAGATACTGCCACATAAATGTGAGCAGACCCCTCTGCAAAACATCACATGAAGCCCATCATGTCTCACCATTTTGGTGCTCAAGCCTGCTATGGTGAACAAGGCATGGGCACTGCCTTTTGCCAAGGCTTGTGCATGTGTTATGCAAGAAAACTTTTGCTGATCCTCTCTCAGAATATTGAATGCTTTGCCTTTTGGGCATGGTTTCCCTTTTGTCAAGGGCTGCTGGGCATCGCATTCCCAACAACAAAACTGGCTGTTCCAGTGGTTCAGCCCCAAATGGTTGCTGTACATTTCATGGTCCCCTTGAATTGACCATATGACAGCCCTGTGGCCTTGACATGTCAAAGGCTGTCCAGCAAGCTTCTCAAACACAGACCCTTTTGGCAAGGGCTCACCTTCTGGCCCAAAACAAGGGTGGTAGCCTTCTTGCAAGCATTCGAAGCTCCACTTAATGTAGCTCATGATAGGCTTCCAAGTGGATTCAGTGGTGCATGACTTGGGCATTGCACACAGGAGTAGGTGGGAAGAAAGGCTATTGGCAAAGGAAAGGAACCCACCAAAATTCCATACCATGATGGTGTCTCTTGATTGGAACTCTACTCCATCAGCATGTGTAAACAGTGGGATTGTGTATTCTGCATTGACCACATGCCTTTTGACAAGGCCTGTCCTTTTGTCAAGGCAAATAGGGTGGCCTGGCAGCCTTTCATCCTTGACTGCTTCGACATTCTTCCAAAATTGTGCCACATCACTTGCTTTTCCAAACATCTTTTCAAACTGGAGTGGGTAAGATGAGTGGAGATTGGAAAACAAAAGATGTGGCAGAAAAATTGTGGCTATGTCTTTTCCCACTTTGGAAGTCTTGGGGTCCCTGACTGGGACTTCTACTTCATATGGTGGGGATAAAGGGTTCCCTTTACACCAGTTGGCCATGAAGTCTCTGTGGCAATTGCCACCCACTTGGCCCCAATTCCCACATGAAGCCATGTGAGCAAGTTCTTGGCCTTGGGCTCCATCAAGCACAGCTAGATGTGCCAATTCTTGGCACATCTTGGCTGATAGCTGGCCATGGGCCCACAAAGACAAGAGCTTCTCACAGAGACCACTTTTTCTTTTGCTTTGACCTTTTGTCAAGGTGCAAGCTTTCCTCTTTTGCAGCTCTAGGTCATGGCCTCTGAGTCTTTTAGCTTTGGGTCCATCCTCCATGTCTGTTTAGTCAGCACTTTTGTCAAGGCTTGGATCTTTTGACACAATCTTCTTTTGTCAAGATCCCTTACCACTTCAAAGAAGTTCCACTTCCTTTTGTCAAGGTGAGCTACTCAAAATTCCTAGTTAAACACTTTGAGCCAAAAAATAACAACATGAACAGTGCTGCTAGTACCTGTTACCTCATGAAAAGCCTTGGGTTAAAACCATGGAGAAACATTACCTTCACAAACCTTAAGTGCTATGGACCCAGACCCACCCCACAACAATTGTCAAGAACCAAGTCAAAAAACAACATGTCAAAAAACAAACAACCTGTGGTTAATGCAACCAGCTGCAGCACCATCCCCCCCATTTTTTTTGCTTTGCTCAAAGCAGATCTGCTGCCTTTGCTAGCCCTCTAGGGTGAGGACCCATTAAATACAAAACCCAAGAAATTGCTCAGTCCCTTTTGGCAAGGGTTTTCTGCACTAATTTCTTGAAACTTCGATCCTTTGGTCAAGGAACCTTTTGATATCACTGAAGAACAGGACCTTTTGTCAAGGTCAGTGTTGTTTTCTTCCAACCTTGGTCCCTCTACTTTTTGGTGGAGGCTTTGGAAACTTTGGAAGTTTTGGAGAATGTCTTGTTGGCCAACACACTGAGCTCCCTCTTTTCATCTTTCAACTGCCTGCACTTGGCAGTAGCTTCTGCAATCAGTCCCTTAGCTTTTGTCAAGCTCATTGCCTTGTCCTTCTTCAATAGAATCTCTTTGAACTTCCCTTCAAACTCATGAGCCTCATGCACCAAGGCCTCAGCATCCTTTTTGCTAGCCTTGCTCAGCCTGCCAGTTTTGTTTGCCTTGGCAATTTCTTCTTCCAGGTTGGAAGCTGCTTGCACACACTGGTCCCTGGCCTTCCTTGTTTTTTTCAAGCATTCCTTCCATTCCTCTTCCTCTGTCTTTGGGTCTTCTTCTTTATCTGATCCTTCTTCCTCACCCACTGTGCCATCTTCAATTGCCAATTGTGCAGGCTTGCCTTTCTTCCCTTTACCTTTGCCTTTTGTCAAGGCACCCTTGCTGCCTTTGCCTTTTCCTTTGCCCTCCAGCTGCAGCATCTGAGTTTGCAAGTCCCTTGAGAAGTGCTTTTGCCAAGCTTCTTCATCTTCACCTTCAGCAGCATATTCCTGACCCCAAGCCCATGTGTCTTTGTGCTTCACTGTCGACACTTTCTTAATATCTCCTTGGTCCAGGTATTGGAAGATCCCTGGTGTCCAAGGATCATTTCTCCATAGCACTCTCCCTGAATTAAGGTGTGCTTCAAATTCTTCTTGGGAAAATCTCTGTGACATTTGAAGCTCAGACTCCCAAGCTTCTCCTTTTGTCAAGGAGGTTCCCTGGGACATTTCTTGCTTTGCCTGCATGAACTTGGGGGCTTTGTCTTTCAGCAGGCACAAAGTGGCAAACAAACCCACTTCCTTCTTGGACATGTTGTCCACCTTCTTGGCTTCTTCTGGGTTGTTTTTCAAGTGGGTTTTCATTTTTCCCCATGCACTTTGCTGCTCTGCTGGTGTGAGTGTTTTTTTAAGCTCTGCAGCAGCTTCTTCTTGGGTGTCAGCATTTTCTGTCACCATTTGGATTCTTTCCTTCAGGCTGAGTTCACCCATCTTGCCTAGATTTTTTTTATTCAGTGCATTCTTCTTGTCTTTGGTTGCCACTTTCTTGCTGCTCCCTTTTGGCAAGGGATGTTTTCCTTTTGGCAAGGTATGCTTCCCTTTTGGCAAGGTTTTTTTCTTTTTGTCAGTGCTTGAGCCTGGTTTCACCTGCTTTGCTTTCCCTTTGGCCAAGGGATTTTTGTTCTTCAGTATGCCTTTTGGCAAGGGCTTGCCCATGCCTACAATCCTAAAACTATTTCTAACCTAATGAAAACAGCTGCAGCTTGACAAAAGCATGCATGCTACTCATGGAAGGTGACAAGTGGGGACCCTTCAGGATTACTTTCCAATTTCTTTAACCAAACAAATCAAACCATGTAGTGGTAAACCAACCCAAAGGTAGTATTTGGAAGCAAATCATGTAGATCAACCTGGTGAAAACTTTTGAACCACATTGCAATCAAATTGATAAGGGTTGGAGTTGAACAAGTTCACTTGGTGAAAATTTCTGAATCCTTCTGAAATCAAAATGATTGGGATTGAAACTGGAAAATTGCAACCTGATGAAAACTGATGAAAACTGATGAAAACCGATGAAAACTGATGAAATCTGATGAAATCTTGGTTTTCATCAGGTTTCATCAGATTTCATATCAAAATGATTGGGGTTGAAACTGGAAAATTGCAACCTGATGAAAACTGATGAAATCTGATGAAATCTGATGAAATCTTGGTTTTCACCAGATTTCATCAGATTTCATCAGGTTTCATCAGTTTTCATCAGGTTCCATTTTTTTTTTATTTTTTGGTAAATATTATCAATTAACATCAAAACTAAATATAAATTCTTCAGGAATCACCAGTGTTCATCCCCTATAATCTCAAATGTGGATGGTGCCATGTTCAATTCCAAACCTTTCAGGGTAGTAAACCCAAAGACTAATGCACTAATCCCAAACTTTGTTTGTAGATCTTTGCATGCCTTTTGTCAAGGCCACAAACCACCAGAACCTCATGAATGACTGCAAATAATTACAATAAATCTATATATAAATGAATAATCTGTATATATATATATTCATGTGAAAATATCTATGTGTATATATTTGCCAAACATAAGTGTGGAATCAAATGGAATGAACATGATACACTACAGATTTCAACCCAGATCCATGCCAGTACCAACCACCCCACTGTCCACCCAGGGCCACCACCATTTTTTGCTGAAGCCTCTGTGTTTTGAACCTTTTGCCAAGGTTCCCAGAGTTTCTTGAGAGCTGGAGCCTGCAAAGGACTACTATACCAAAAATATTATGGGCATGACTCATGACCTTGGCAAAAGGTTGGCCTAATGATTATTAATACTGATGTTTAAGGATTGGGTGATTGAAAATGAATATAATGATAATGATTTGGTATTTAATTTTTTGTACTTGGTCCAATGCAGGCTCCAGTATTTTAAAAACTAAAGACACTACCCTTTTTGAGCTGTGTCTAAACAAAATCTGTACAAGGTGAAACATTGAATTCTACTGGTGGTGATTGCCTTTTGTCAAGGTAACCCCACTCCTTTGCAGTTCTGCCTTTTGTCAAGGCCTGGGAGGGGGAAGTTGTTCAAAACATCCCCCATTTTTTCCATGGTTTGGTTCAGATCTTTTGTCAAGATGTGTATATCTTTTGTCAAGATATGTATATCTTTTGTCAAGATCTTCAGGTTTTTTGTCAAAGCCTTTGGTCTTTTGTCAAGACTTTTGATCTTTTGTCAAGATCTTTCACTCATCCTCCCTGCTCAAGATCTCTTGGACAGCAGCTTTGAAGTTGGAGTAGCAGGAGATTGACTTCCTGCCATTCCTGTCAAATTTTGAGCCAGGGAGTGATATTGGAAATAATTCGATGCCATGGTCAAGACATTCCCAACAGATGTCCATGTTGTCATCGATCATTTTGCTGATGTCATAATTTTTACACCAGACTGCCTTCCCCTTTGGGCCACACCTTTTCCAAGTGAAGTTCACTGAGGTCCAGCCCTCCCATTCATGCCAGGCCCAGTTCCACACTTCCTGGGACCTCTTGAAGCCACAGAAGCTGAGGAGGTGGACTTCATAGCCAGCTTTTTTCAAGCTTTCCAGGCATTCAGTATTCTCTTTGTTGTACTGGTCATTTATCACCAGCACACCATGCCAGTCCACAGCAATCCTTTTGTTTGGCTTCATTGTGAGCACAGTAGGCCCTTTTGACAAGGGCTCTTTGCTGCTGCTTTCACTGCTGCTGGAAGAGCTGCTGGTGGATCCACTGCTTCTGCCCCAGTCTGCTTGTGACTTGGCTGGGGATGGACTGGGCAGCAGCCTTTCTTTCTTTTTCCACTCAGCTGTACCTTTTGACAAGGTTTCCTGTTCCTGTTTTTTTCCTTTTTCCAAGGATTCATTTGTTTGCTTTGGCTTGCTTTTTGGCAAGGGCTTTCCATCCAGGCTCCTCTTCAGCATCTCCTTCTCAGAGGGCCCAAACTTTTTTCAGAATCCTTTTGGCAAGGATTTGAAGCTTGGCTTGTGCCAGCAGAAGGGTCTTTTGCAGGAACCTTTTGGCAAGGTTCTGCAGGGCTTTCTTTGCTTGAAACCTTTTGGCAAGGTTCTGCAGGGCTTCCTTTGCTTGAAACCTTTTGGCAAGGTTTTGCAGGGCTTCCTTTGCTGGAAACCTTTTGGCAAGGTTCTGCAGGGCTTCCTTTGCTTGAAACCTTTTGGCAAGGTTTTGCAGGGCTTCCTTTGCTGGAAACCTTTTGGCAAGGTTTTGCAAGGCCTTCTTTGCCCCCTTTTCTTTTGCTGCCCTTTTCCTTTTGGCAAGGAATGGGCATTTTTCTTTTTTTCTGGAGGCTTCCAAGGCCTCAGCAATTCTGGCAGCTTCCTCTTGGGCCTCCTCTGCCTGCTTCTTCATGGAAGCTGCCTTGCTTGCTGCTGCCTTGGCCTGGGCCTCCAAGGCATCAGCATGCCCTGCTGCAGCCAGTCTATCCCTCTCCTGAGCTGCAGCTTGGACCCTTTGCCTCCTTGCCCAGGAGGTGGTTCCAATTCCACTGGGCCTGGCCTTGTTGTTGGTGCCTTGTGCCCAGCACCCCTCTTCATAGCCCCAATCAGGCCACTTCTCACTTTGGGACATTGTTTCCCTTTTTGCCAAAGGTTAGAGTTTTTGTTTGCAATATGCCTTTTTGTCAAAGGCTTTTTTTTCCACAAGTTTGGTTTGCAAAAAAGTTGAACCTTTGGCCAAGGTCTTGTAAAAACCTGGGCTTATAAGTCCAACCTTTTGGCGAAGATTGAAAAAAAGCAAAAAGCAAAAAGCTGATTGGTTTGAGCCACTTTGGCTACCATGCAGTGAAGTCTGTGACATGTGACATGCATGTCCCACCCTATGACATGTGACATGTGACATGCATGGTCAACCCTATGACATGTGATATGTGACATGCATGGTCAACCCTATGACATGTGACATGTGACATGCATGGTCAACCCTATGACATGTGACATGTGACATGTGACATGCATGTCAACCCTATGACATGTGATATGTGACATGCATGGCCAACCCTATGACATGTGACATGTGACATGCATGCTCAGCCCTGTGACATGTGAACCAGTGAAACATTTAAAGACCAAACCAACAAACATGTTCTACAACAAAAACAGACACAACACCTGGACACCTCACCAACTATAGCTGTCCCAAACAGAACCCTGGCCCTTCAGCCACAGCCCACCCCAGCAGCATTTGTTTTGCCACCCACCCCTCTTGTCAAGGGGCATGTCAATTTTGCAATAGGCTATCCTCCTGTTGGGATGCCTGTTTAAAAACCCAAAAAAGCAGAAACATAACCTTTTGTCAAGGGTATGCCTCCTGAAATGCAAGTAGCTTTTGTCAAGCTCCTTTTGGTCAGCACAGTGTCTCTCTGAGCTCTAGGCATTGTGCTTTTGTCAAGCCATTTGCCTCCACCTTCTTGTAGATGCTTTCTATCACATGTTGGTAGTGGATTGTCCTCTTCTTGGACACCTCCACAAGAAGCTTGAACTTGGTACCAGGTGCACCTTGAGCAGTAATATAAGCCCTCTCAGGCTTCTTGGCATATGTTACCTTCAGCTTGTGCCACTGCTTACCATTTGGCTTCACTTCTGTTTTTTTGGCAGGTGCACCTTTCCCTTTTGTCAAGGTTTTTTCTTTTTACCTGCTGAGCTTGCAGCTGGTTTTTTGCCAGCTGGTTTTTTGCAAGCTGCTTTCCCCACAGCTTTTGTCAAACCCATTGCTTTTGCCAAGCCTGCATCATGATCTTCTGCTTTCCATTCTTTGTCAGAGCCCATTGCCATTTTGCCAACCCTTCTTCTCAAAAAAGTAGGAACAGGAGATTGGCCAGAGCTGCTGGCAGCTTCCTGGCCTTTTGCCAAGGTCTCAGCATCATTTGGCACAGCACCTTTTGTCAAGGTGTTCTTGGTGGGTGTTTGCAGTTCTTTGGGGTAACCCTGGCTGTCCAAAGACACTGCATCCATATCCACTTTCCTCTTCTTTGGCAATGGGCTCTCTTCTTCAGCACTCTTGTCTTTGATTGCCATGATGCCCACAGCTTTTTGCAGCTTCTTGTAGTCTGAAGACTTCAGCTTGGCTGCAGCTTTCCTCATCTCTTTGTCAATCTTGAGTCGTCTAAAGTGAGCAAAGATTGTGGTCAACCTTTCATTCCTCAGGTTGGACCAAACCTCACCATTGAAATCAGTTTGGTTCAAGCTTGGCTGATCCATCACCAATCTCATCAGAGTGGACCTCACTGGTCCAGAAGCAATTTCACAGGTGGGAGAGACTTTTGTCAAGTCTGTGATGAGGTCAAGGATGTCCACAAGGCCTTGGAAGTTAGTAGCCTGATTTTTTGAAACTGTCTCATAGGCACCTAGATCACTTATGGTGTCCTGATGGCTTTTCATGACCTTGAATAAAATGCCCAGGTCTACCACAGGTTTGCTGAAGTGCCTGGCACCACCCTTGCCACTCATCCTCCCCTTTTGTCAAGGGCCACTCAAGGGCCCCTTTTCTTGAGAAAAACCTTTTGCCAAGGTCTCTATAAGTTTGAAATGGAAAATGGCTGCAGATGGAAATGCATGTCAAAAATGCAAAAAAAAACACCAAAAAAAATCAATATAAAAATCAATATTTTTGGAAAAATCAATATTTTATTGATTTTAAAATCAATAAGACGTGTATTGAAAAAATCAATAAAAACCATCAAAATCAATATCAATAAAAAAACAGCTAAGTTTATTGATTAGGATCAATATCCGATGCTCAGGGATCCAAGAATCGGTCCGTGTCAATGCTGGTGAAGAAGCCCGCGAGGTCCTGGTTGTAGATTTGAGGGGTTGGGAAACCATCAAAGTCGGTGTTCTTGAGGAGTTTGATGAGATCGAAGACATCTCCCTTGGCGAGGTTGTGAGGGAAGGCTTGTGGTAGGAGTTGGTAAATGAGCTTGGCGATGCAGTTCAACATGGGTCGGAAAGGTGCTGTGAAGAAGCTGACAATTGGTCTGCCTGATCGGAACTGTTTCTTGCGTTTCGGGAGGACGTAGGCGTTCGGGAGGTCGCGTCCAGCACCGAGGGCCCAAGGGTAAGTCTTGCCAAACTGTTTGTTGATCTCGGCGATGGTGTCCTCAATGATGTGGTTAGGGCTGGTGTCGAGATTCCTGAAAACCAAAGTGTCGGCGAAGGTCTTGGTGAGACATTCATAGTAGACCATTGGGCAGAATATTCGAAGAGAAGTAGCACGCTTGTCCTCGTTGTGGAAAACAGCATTGGGAAAAAGTTGTTTGAATCGAGTGATGTCTTTGTGGGTGATGTGGTCATGGAGAGAGGCGTGGTGAGCTTGGATTGACTTTGTCCAAAGTTCTTCCAGGTCGGAGTTCATCAGCGATGGGAGGGAGTTCTTCTTCGTCCACATAGTCAGTGCTTCGCGAAGAGATTTGTAGATTTCTTTGGAGGGTGGAAAGATCTTGTTTTGTAAAGAGCCAGTAGCAATCGATGTAAGGGGCTTGTCTGTGAAGTGTAACGTGTCACCATCGACGATGAGGTGTTGATCTTCAGGAGAGGTTCGGTGGGAGTGTTGTCGCAACGTGGAACAGGCACAAATAGGTGACTCGCCATCAGCCCAACGGGTTGCGGAGTCCTTGTGGTTGCAGAGGCTGTCCATGACCGAGGGGTACTTGGTGAAAACGACACCTGTAGAAGGGGTCTGAAGAGTCGTGTTGTACTGTTTGGTCATGTGTACATGGGAGGTGAGGAGCTTGCGAAGGTCACGCGTCCAGTCGGGTGCCAAAAGCCACGGTGCTCGCAGGGGCGTGGGTTTGCGAACTGGTTTGGCTTTCCAAAACTTCAAGGCCCTGTCGATGGCATTGATGGCATAGGATCGTTGGGGTTCTCCAAGATTGTTGGCAAGACGTCGGATGAAGTAGCATCCCTGGGCACCAATTTCGTTGGACCTGAGTTTTTTCTCCATGTGAAATCGTCTGATAGAATTGCTGCCCAAATCTTGGATAATTTCCCAAAGTTGTACTCGGCGATGGAAAAGAGGACTGTGGAGAGCTCGTCGGACATGTTGTGGTGTAGATGCCCATCGAAGTTTGCGCAATAACGAAAAGGTTCCAAACTGGCGGGAGCTTGAAAATTTGGATCGAGCGATGAGCCCTTTCCGACAGCTGAAAAATTGATAAATGAATGGAGTGTTCAATCGGGGCTGCCACAATTGAATTAAGGCTTGTTCCAAAGCCCCAAAGTTGGATTTGTTGGTGTAGATAGGCAAAACCGACCACATCCAGAAGTTGTCGTATCTACACCAAAATCGCAATGCTACTTTGGCCAAAACAAACTTATTCTGCTGTACTTGTAAAAACTTCCAGTAACGGGAGTGTTCACGACAAAGAACAAACGACGAAGTGGATCCCAAATAGAACTTCGGTTGAAAATTCGCAATATGAGAGAAACGGACATACACGGGATTCGAATGTTTGAAACAATCAAGGGAAGCCTTGAGGTCATCCCAAGAAGTGCAAAAGAATATTCGCCGAAAAGGTGTGCCGTTGAGCAGCGCTTGCAGTTTCGAATTACTTTTTGGGTGCAGTAGCACGTACTGACCCATCAGCACCGTTTGAATCATACGAAAAGCATAGAAAACGTCAACCGAAGGAGACAAGGTAAAAGGGGTGAGCAATGCCAACGACAAAATACATGCATGAGTAACGGCGAGATCTGGCAAAATGCGGACTGCTTTTGAGTCCCGTGATGTCAGGTGCTTGGCGAGTCAGGAGTTCATCAGCATCGAAACAGTCATGACCTTGAGGACGATCTCATCAGTCGAGGCATTCTTGAGCTTGCAGGGATCAATGCCCATCGCTACACTGGCTCTCTGGATCGTTTTTGCCTCTTCATCCTGTTGGCTGTTCCACCATGTAGTGACTTTCTCCAAATTCTTGTCCAGTGTTTCCAGTTTGTGAGGAGGGAGTTTCAAGTCCTTCAGCCATTTTTTGTACTGCGTCTCGGTCGACGAAGTGGGTTGGTTGTCAACGAGCCAGGGGTCCACTGAGCCAGGTGAAACCAGCAGGCAGGATGGATCAAACGATGTTGAGGCGGTTTGCTGTCCATGTAGAGTTCGTCCAATTGGGGTTGATGCGTTCCCTGGTGCTTCCGCTGCTGTAGGAGAAGTCTGGTTGTTCGGCGATTTTACTCTAGCTAATTCAGCCTCAAGCTCCAAGATGCGCTGTTGGCTGGCATTGTCAGCAACTGGTTGTGAGGGTAACCAGTATTGCATCAGCTGGGCGACTTCCTTGGCCATGTACTGTGTGGCCTCTTTCTGGGTGACAGCCTGGCCAGAGGCACGTGATCGGTATGCTGCCAGTTTGTCCAAGTCCACATTCCCGGTGCGGAGCTGGGCCACCAATTCTGCGATGAAGACCGTAGTGCCTATATTGTCAAATGGGAGCACGAAGGTTTCCCTGCCGTAGGCAATGCGACGAAGCCAAGTGTTGTGAAGACCTTGGTACAAGAACTTCCATAATGGGACCTGCAATGGATCCATGCCTTCGATATCTTTGAAGCTGGAGAATTTGCTTTGACGAATTTTCGAAGGGAAGTCCAAACCATTCACCTTGTTGGAGTCATGGTAGTCAACGTCCGGTTTCCATCCATCGACCGGTGGAATGTCGATCGGGCGACAAGTGTAGCCATGACGAAGAGGGGAGACGCCAGGCGGTGTGGTCGTGGACGGTGGTGATCTTGGTGTAGTGGTTCCGCATCGTTGAGGTGTAAAGGAATTGTAGTCCTGTGGTCCATGAGGCAAGACAGGTGGTGTAGGTGGGAATGACGTAGTTGACGGGGAAGTTGTCCATGAAGGCCGTGAAGGGAAGGATAATGTCGGAGGTTGAGGTGGTGTTGGAGGTACAGATGCAGCCATGGCATAGTGCATCGGTCCACGGAACGTTGGAGCAGATTGATGCCATTCCTGATGAGGACGGCGAGGAGTGCGAGATCGATCTGGTTGCGATGCAGGAATCATTGGCGAAGCCTGGGTAAACTGGGAGATCAAGTCTTGGGACGCCATGATGACGAAGATCGCAATGAGGGACGCGGTGTGAAATAAGCCAGCTTGAAATTGCATGAGAAAAATATCCAAATAAATTCGATAGTAGACATGAAAATGTTTGCAAGTGTGTAATTATATGGGGTACTTGGCCTAGCCCCAGCCATTGCCAGCCAAAAAAGTCGCAAAAACATGGCAACTACAAAATAATCTGGATAGCTGAGTCAGCAATATCGTAAAATTGTTCGAGAAAAACCGTGGCGACATCCACCAAATTGGCTCCAAACGATTTTCACGGAAGAGGTGACGCGGAACACCTTGACGGGAGAAGCATTGTTACTCCAAAATAGGCCGTCGGGTGCGTCCCAGGCTCAAATGTGCATGTCCTGGATGTAGTGGTCACCAGTAGGAGGAGTAGTACCCCGAGGATCCTTCACGATGATGATCACGAGAGCGCCCTTCTCGATGAGTGGAGGAACGACCATGGTAATCAGAGGAAGCCCGGTTCCAAGAGGAAGAAGATTCTCGATGATGTCCACGTCGTTTGGAGTCAGTCGTACCTGGATGTGTACTGCGATCATCTGGTCCTCGAGTTCGATGGTGAGGTGTTGCGGATTTTTTGGTGCTGTAGGTGTTTCTGCGGTGGTAGCTTCGGTGGTTGTTGGGGGAGTGGGCTCAATCGTCAAAGGTTCTGGAAGATCTCCTGCAACTGAGGGTGTGGAGCCACGGGTAGGGATCGGAGACTTGGTGATCAATTGTGCGAATACAGGATGAGTAGATGCCGCATAGGATACCGACGCGCATTTTGAGTGTCACAGTTCTCGTTCGTCAGGGTCACGTGGCAGATGGACCTGGGCTTGGGTGAGTTGAGTGGCATCCAGAGCGCGACAAGACTTTTCTTGCACTAGCAGTGGGATCAAAAAAGGAGCGCTTTCGCTGCTGGGAGGGTCTGGGCTAGGATTTATAATAAAGGAGCAAGGAGGTTCGAACAATCTCCTGTCTTCTAAAGAGATGAACAGTCTCTTGTCTCCTAAGGAGGTTTCACCATCAGACTCCTACTAGGTCAAGAAATGATGATGAGGATTTAACAGTTATGAAATTTTTGAACTTGTGAAGAGAGCCTTTGGACTCCTGCGTGTAACCCTTCCTGCAAAGGAGGCTGGCAGTGAAAAGAAGGAGGCCGAAAGAGACTCCTGTGTATTAAGCCTAGGCCAAACAAAAAGATATCTACGCGAAGGAGGCTCATTGAAGCAGACTCCTGCGCTTGGCCAGCGGTCAAGGAAACATCATAAGGAGACTGCTTCAAACGTCTCCTGTGGGAAAATTTTTCATCCAAAGATCAAAGATATGTGATATATCATTCCGAGATCCATAATCTTCCTTCTTCCTTTAAACCATAGTTTTTATTGCAAATTTGCATGAAGGAGGCCGTGGCTGCGACTCCTAGCATCTTCAGATTCAGCCAAGGAGGATGAGTTAAGGACTCCTGGGCATTTTCCCTAGCGCACAACTGAGCACAGTCGTGGTTTGAAAGTTGTCTTTCTCTAAATTGTCGACAAGGATTGACAGTAACAATAAGTTTCCATGAGAGCCCGTGACCGCCATGTCATACACGGTGACACCATGTACAACATGGCAGCCAAATACGTTTTTAGCCGCCGTGTTCTTACACGGTTTACCATGTATGAACATGGCAGTATGGTTTTCTATTATAAGTCAGAGAGCCGTGTTAGCAAACGGTTTCCAATGTGGTAGCATGGCAGCCGAATACGTTTTTAGCCGCCCTGTTCAAAATATACGGTTTTGCATGTGTGTACATGGCAGTCACTCACTTGGATCTTCCAAATCCACCTGAACTTAGTACGGCTCCGGAGCATGGCAAGCAAATACGCGTTGGCTGTTACAATTTGCTCGAATTTAGAACGGCTCCGGAGCATGGCAAGCAAATACGCGTTGGCTGTTGCAATTTCCTCGAATTTAGTACGGCTCCGGAGCATGGCAGTCAAATTTGCTTGTTTTTGTTATCACCCCTAGACAATTCGCTTTCACTGCGCATCCGACTCTGGATTTTCATCATTGTCAGCAGAGATTTGGCCCAGCAGTAGTTGTCTTAAGCCTCTGGTGCTAGTTAGTCAGCGATGCCTCCAAAGGGAAGCAAAAGGGCAGTTCCTGAGCAAGCTGTCCTGCCTGAAGCCAAGGCCGGAAAGAAGGCAAAGGCCAAGGCTGCCCCTGCACGTGCCCAGGACTCAAGTTTGATGGCCAACTTGGCCGCCAACAGTTGTCCAGGAGCTAGCACTCAAGCCATCACCTTGAATGGCGCCATGTGGTCCGAGCACCTTGAGAACGTGAGGGTGTTCAAGGAGCAATGTGTTGCTCAAGATGCCTGCCAGCTCTGCCCTGACAAGAAAAGTTTTGGGCAGGCTTACGATGAAAAGATGGCGTTGGAAAGTCTTGAAGCGAGAAGGGAAGTACCTTTGTCTCATGAACGCTCTGTGGCTTGATCAAAGTTGGTCTGCCACGCCGCAGATTCCAATTAGCCAAGGCGCCGTTGACCAAGTCAAAGCCCACTGGTTCAGCAAGCCCAACGGCTTGGATCAGCAGCAAGTCACAGTAGGCGTGTTGCAGCAAGAAGTTGGCTCCAAGAAGATGCCAGCCTTTGGCACTTGGAAGCGTTTGAGCGCTGAGGAATCCGTCATTGCCTTCTTTGAGGCCGCCGGAGCAGAAGCCAAGAACGTGGAAGCAGGCGCCCAAGATGATCAGCTACAGAAGTGGCTGGCTCACTGCCTCTCCTGCCCGGTCTTGATCCGTGTGGTTGCAGGTTCACAAGAGATGGAGTGGGTTGCCCAACAGCTGAGAGAGGACCAGACACAACTTTCCTTTTTGGCCCGCACTCCAACGCGGAGGATTTTCGATGTGATGCAGAAGCGCGAGGCCATGGGTGTTTCTTACACTCCAGAACTGCTCTTGGAGCTGTACGACCAGAAGCTTAAGCTCAGTGCCAAGTCGGAGAAGCTCACGAGAGGACATGTAAGTATTAAAATCTATTAGTATTAAAATGTCGCGCCTTTAACATTCGTAGTCACTTCTTTAAGAACAAATCCGCGGCCCTAGCAATGGTAACGACTTTCCTGAGCATCCTTCAGAATGCTGTGGACCACCCTACCAGTGAGCTCACTGACGCAGTTTGGATTGCCTACCACTACGACAAGAGCCAGCCAATCAAGCCGATGCAGCTGCGCTTGAATTCGTGTGGGCTGCTCAATCAAATAGGAAGCCTTGCTGGGAAGATTGCTGAGTTGCATGATGGCTGTTGCTGGCTTCTGAATGCCATTGAAGGAACCCCATCAGCCGCACCGCATCAAGCTGCCCTGTCTGCAGCTCACGCTTGTCTGAGTGATTTCCTAGTGCACTTGAAATGGAGTGCTTGTGTCATGGGACAAGACGCTTCCATGAAGTAGGTTTGCGATCCTTAAGCGATCTTTTCTGCAGAGAGGAAAATTGGGACTGATCTCTGTTTGTTAGTGAGTGCTCCTCTAATGCAATTTCTCGATGGTACACCATCAGTTTCACACAAGGATGGCCCACTGAAGCCTCCTTTTAGAACGCAAGGATGGCTCACTGAAGCCGCCTTTGGGCAGCCTGTGGAATAATGGCTCCCAATCGCAAGTTTCAAAGAAAGCTGTGAAAGAATGTTTGTGGGAGGCGCTGCGGCTTCATACAGTTTGCTGGAGAGCGCCACCGTGCAGAGCGGGGAGGGGCTCTGCACTGCACAATGAACAAAACACATATTATATTTACATAAGAAACATTTTCGCACACCTACATCTACAATTGCAGTGCTACCCTACTGTGTGAGCTAAACATGCCATAGTGTTAACACACACACAATCAGTATTCCAAGAATGTTCTTTAAGAAATTTTCTTATCCTGAATGACTTTTATGACCATGGCTTAAAACATGAGAATAGCCACCAATCAGCCCAAAGCACCCTAATAAATCCAGCCCAGAATCTCCAAATTCATTTCGAATGCGCAGGCTCGTACAAAGTGTGGGTCTCGGTCTTGCTCTGCGGCCTTTTACCTGTAAATTTCCGCATGAAATGACTCTTGTGACGTGTCCAGGCATTTTGACTGCGCAGGCTCGCGCAAAACGTGCGGCGCGGTCTTGGGGTCAGTCCTCGTCCTCCTCCTCCTCCACATCATTATTCTCAACATCATCCTCTTCCCCCACCTTGACATCATCATCCTCAACATCGTCATCCTCCACCTCATCTTCCGCAACATTATCATCATCAACATCATCCTGCTCCACATTATCATCCTCAACATCATCGACCGTGACATTTTCATCATCATCATTATCATCATCATCATCACCATCACCATCATCAAAATCATCATCATCCTCCTCCTCCTCCTCCTCGTGGTCGTGGTCGTGGTCGTGGTCGTGGTCGTGGTCGTGGTCGTGGTCGTGGTCAAGAGTGGAGGGTCAGAAAAAAAATCCAGATCAAAAAAAATAAAACACTAGGATCTTAAAAGAAATATTGCCTATTTCATCTAAATTTAGTGGTAGGTTAGGTTTAATTTTTTTTGATCTGGAAATATTTTTTCTTGATCCCCCGAGGCTAGGGGAGATCAAGCTGCTCGAAAGCATCAAAAAAAATTATTCAGTTCTTTTTTTCCCTTTTCCCTTTTTCCTTCCTTCGTTCCTCCCTCCCTCCCTCCCTCCTTCCTTCCTTCTTTCCTTTGTTCCTTCCTTCCTTCTTTTCGGGCGCGAAATTAAGTTGGCAGTTTTTGTTTTTTTTTTGCATTTTTTTTTTTGGTCGTCCAGGCTCCCTTCCTTGCTTTTTGCACCTAAAATCTCTCATTTGCTGCATTTTGTAGCTAAAATCTCTCATTCGCACTGTTCATCAATTTTTCCAGTGGTTTCATGAATTTTTCCATGGTGTTTATCGAGTTTTCCATTGTTTTCATTGATTTTTCCATGATTTTCATGGAATTTTCCAAGATGTTCATGGATTTTCCATGGTTTTCGTCAATTTTGCCATAGTATTCTTCAATTTTTCCATGGTTTTCTTCAATTGCTCTATGGTCTTCTTCGATTGTTCCGTGGTTTTCTTCCATTTGTCAATGGAATTTTCTATGTTTTTCTTCAATTTTTGTATGGTGTTCATTCATGTTTTACTGGTTTTCATTCATTGTTCCAAAGTTTTCATTGATTTTTACATTGTTTTCATTGTTTTTTCTTCCGAAGTGTTCATTGATTTTTGGAGATACATGATGTGCAAACTATAAACTGTAGATGTATAGAGGCATACATGCATAACTAATCATGACTATATGCATATGTATATCAATGTATTTACAAGTGTAATTAATATATCTGCAGGGTTTGGTTTTAGGGTTTATTTAGGGTTGCTTTATGGTTTATTCTAGATTTGTTTAAGGTCTATTTAGGGTTGGTTTTAA